AATTTTGTTGAAAACTTTTGAGAACATTTCTAATGTTATATATATTCATCATATTAAATAAGAAATAATTGTTAAAATAAACACTATTTTTATTTATGATATAAATGGAATACATAATTTAATAATAACAACAACAACAACAACAACAACAATAATAATAATAAGAATAAGAAGAATAAGAATTGTTATTTTCTACAAGCATTTAAGTTTATTTTTAATCTTATTGTTACTTTTGTTAATTTTCAATTTCTATCTTAACTTTGATATATATAAAATCCAATTAATTAATATGAAGAAAAAATTTTCACGTGCAACTTGCTTATTTACTAGTATATGTTGTTGAGTTGGGCCGATTTCTAGTTATTGGGCCCTGTTATTTAATTCTTAATTTTAAGTTGTTAAGTTATGAAGTTGTTGGGCTTTAGGCCCATTGGTTTATGTTTTTAAGTTGTAAATGTTCAGCTATTTAAGTAGCCGCTCTACTAACGGCATTGTTCTAATCTCTTATTCTTTTAAGTTGAGTATATAATACATAGAGGGGTTGGTGGCCAAAACTAATTCAATTCCGGTTGACATTCTACTCATTTTCTTCTCTACTACTAAAACTCTTCGTTTTCTTCCTTCTCTTCACAATGAATTTATCTAAAACTGCAATTAGTGATTTCTACTTGGTATTAGAGCAAGCCGAAGGCTCCTTGAGCTATTCTATCATGCAGCCCTAGATTGGCTGACTGCATGGTGATTTAAGAGGTTGATCGAAGATCTCAGGTAAGCCCAGTTTTTTGAGTTTTTTGTGGATCTGTTTTGCCTTGTAGCTGGTATAGGGTTTTTCATCAAAATCAGGAAAAACTAGAGAAAGGAGAAGAGGGTTGTTTCTGTTGGACTCTTCAATTTTGACCTAGGAAGTGGTGCCCTACTTTTTTAGGGTTCCTCGGAGTTTTCTGAGGGGGATGGTTCAAATCTTACCTATTTTAGAGGTTTTTAGAGAGAGTGGCTGCATCTTCTCTCTCTTTTATCGTCCCGTAGAAAAGAAATCTTTTGTAAGAGGGCCATCTAGGGCATCAAAAGGGTGTCGTTGGTACCAAAAGTGATTTATTTGATATTCTTGCATATTATAGTAACCTTCTACCCCTTTTTGATAATTATGGAGGGTAACAGAGTTGAAAACAAGCCCGGGGGTGAAATGGGACCAGTGGGAGGAGGTGTCAGTAACCTTTTTGGGGCTAAAATTATTACTACAGTTAAATTGGATGGTTGAAATTATTTAGAATGGTCACAATCTGCAAAGATAACCATTGGTTCTCGTGGGAAGTTATGGTATATCATTGGTTAAGAAGTGAAACCTGAAACTAATAGCTCCCGATGGGTACAGGAAAACTATATGGTGATGATTTGGCTATGTAATTCGATGATGCCCCATATAAGTAAAAATTTTTTGTGGGTAAATACAATTAAGGAAATATAGGATGGGGTTGCAGAAACCTATTCATAGAGGGAGAATGTTGTTAGGACTTATCAGTTGATAAATTAGATTATTACTACAAGGTAAGGAGATAGACCTATTGTTGTTTACTTAAGTAGCCGCCCTACTAAGGGCATTCTTGTAATCTCTTATTCTTTTAAGTTGAGTATATAATACAAAGAGGGGTTGTCGGGCAGAACTAATTCAATTCTGGTTGACATCTGTCTTCACAAGGAATTTATCTAAAACTGCAATAAGTGATTTCTACTTATGTAAAATATCTAGTTGAGTTTACTTCATATTTATCCTATATGGAGGAATCCAAACTGTCCATCTAATTTCAAATTTCTTATTCGCGAGTTGTGTTTACTAATGTTATGACTCCATGTGAACCTTATACAAATGGTTTAATAGAAAAATGTTTTGGGCACGCTACATCTATGCAATTTATTTTGATACGGGTATATCATTGATGATTTAATTTGATATGGGCACATGGATGATTTAATTTGATGTTGAGCCGTATCAAATAAGCTGTGAGAGATGAAGTGAGCATGATGGAGACTCAACGACTTGCAAGAAACTAAAGTTAAAGGGCCCAAGGTGGTTCTTCGGGGAGGAGAACTTCGATGCTTTAGTCAGTAGAGTAGAGAGGTTGTCTAGGTCAAGCTGTTATAGGAACGAGTGGTATGCACAAAGATCGCATTCAGCCGAGGTCTTGGGGTAGTTTCATGCTCCTCGTTGGGAGGTCATGAAGAGGTCATCTGCCATGTGTCCCCTCTCTGTTCAAGGTTGCCGTTGTATGCCATAACTGTTGCCTCTATCGTGTGATGGTGCCCCTCATCGTCGACCTGGCCAAGGTCTTGGCCAATTCTTTAGCCACGTTTATGCCCACATGGTGTTCCAACTAAGTTGAGTTACGACCCCATCAATAGGTAGACCCAAATTTGATTCATTGATAATTGAAATTGAATATGAATGGGTATGTCAAATCTCTCAATAAAAGCATTTATTTTCAAACATGTATACTCGCTCTAGAAAATAAAAGAGGTGTGAACTGGCTTTTTGTTACAAAAAGAAAGGTATGAGCTTCAAATCAAGGTTTTAAAAATTGATTCGGAAATGGAACTCTTTTAGCCTCTGGTTTTTTGGTCAATGGTTCAACCATACTGGTCAAATGGTTTGACCCATAACATTATAAATATATATTGAATTATATATTTAAATAAGACAACTTTTTTTAAGATATTCCAACACTAATGTTGGTACAGGTTTGGTAAAACTTAGAGGTGTAAACCGGTCGTGTCGAGTTGGGCTATGCTTGCCTCCTCTGGTATACTTCAAAGGTCCGACCCCGGGATAAGCCTAGGTGGGCTCAGGTTGTGTCGTATCGTGTCACGGGCTTGGGCTAGGCAGGCTAGATGCCATGCTTGGGTTGAGCCGAACCAGGCCAGTCTTTTTTTTTTTGACATTTTGTTTTGTTTTTTTTTTCATTTTTTTTTGCTAAGTAAAGTGACAAACTTTGAGAAAAATAAAAATTTGATAAAAGAATACTTAACAAAATACAAAATAGACAACAAATTGAAAAGACATAAATATTATTTAATTTTAATTTAATACAACGGAGGAATGGAATGTTGGAAATTGAATAAAATATAAAAACTATATAACAAAATTATAAATTGAAAATAAAAAATTACAATGGTATTGTTGAAAAATAACAAATAGTTTAAATAAAATTAAGAAACAAAATTTATGATAAAATAATAGGAACTAAACTAGGGTGTTTTGGGAGTTCAAGTATTAGATTGGCACGTTTTGAAATTCAGGTAGCATAGGCCCACAGTGTAGGGTACAAATATACAATTTACACAAACTTTAAAGACTGTTGTAATAATTTTGGATCCATGTGTCTTTTTTTTACTTTTTTACATTAAAAAAAAAGAATTAAAAATATAAAGCAAAGTACACATTTGACATTGAAAGAAACTCCTAAGGCAGTTTTCTTCGATAACCGAGCTAGAATTCTTACCCTTTTATTTTCCTCTTCAACCATAATCACCAGAACAAAAGGTAGAAGGTGTTTATGACCACCTTCGACTAGATTTTAAAAACTAGGCCACCATTGTTAATCAAAGCTCAAGGGTTTTTATTTGCAAGGGTAAACCCTAAAAGCAAAAACCATCAAGGTTTTCAAGCATTAAATGAGAGATTTGGGTTTTTATTTTTTTATATTTAATGTGAAGAGTGACCATGAACAGTTGGGCTGAACCATTCAGTTCAGTGATTTTTTGGACTTTTTCAACATTTATTTAGCAAAAAAAGGTCTTAGCATAATCGGACCTGAAACATTGACTGGTTCCTGGGTTAAATGGTTGGATCGTCTGATCTAATCCGCTTTTCAAAATAGTGGTTCAAGTAATAATTAACTTCACTAAAAAAACTCGTATCATGTCAAATGTAGGATTCATAAAATAAAATATGGAATTTGATACAAGGATAAGGGATAAATAGACTGTACTCTACGTCAGAAATCTGAAATTATAATGTTGTCTACTAATCTACTAGTAGCCCCTATAAATAGTATTTTATTCATGAATTTGACATGATCTTCATCCCACCAGGATGGGGCTAAGATTTATAAGGATTGGACTGAACAATAAAAACTCCTTCATTTAATCTATTAAATTAAATAACAAATATATATATAAAAATGCCAAAAAAACAACCTAAATTTACAATACCACCCCCTACTTTAATACGGAGAGGTCATTCTATAGTTCTTTTTGATGGTCAATTGCTTTCTATACATTCAAATGTCCACGTAGGCGATCATCCACGTGGCACAACTTTGCAATTGTGAGTTTTGAATCTCCTCAATTATTACTCTTCCGAGTCTACTGTGCTGCGACTTGGAATTTTGAATCCAATGATCGCGTTATCTAAAATCTGAGACGGGATACTTGGGCGCCTCAAGTGCACATTCACCATAAATTAGAAAGAAGATATTCACTATGTGCGTGTGAAGCGCCCTCTGTGGGGAGCAGATCCGGTAATCACACATCAACTTGTATCCCACGAAAAGAAAGAAAAAGAAAAAAAGAAATCACACATTTACAACCGCTGCGATTGGTAGCCCTTGATTTATCATTGTGGTATTGCCGGATTGGGATTTTGGAGTTAGTGCTAATTATACTATGGTGTTTTAAAAAGCATATTATTTTTATCAAATTTGGCCAAATCCACTATTCTGATTTCTGAACATTACAGAATGTCTAATTTCTGGTCCCACTTAGAATACATGATTTGGATGTTCTTAACCAACAAGGAGATTGGATCCTTTTCTGATGGCCAGAGATGCAAAACAAGTGGTTCTTAAAATAGCTAGTGTACCACCAGGATCACTTTACATTTTTTAATTAGGTGCTTAATAATTGCGGTCGATGATACATTTGTTATTTTACCGGAAAGTAAGGGTGGTTTTGTCATTTTACATATATGAAGAATAAATTCTAAACTGGTCCGGGTTACGGTTCCGTTCTCTCTTGATCGACCGAGAAGCAGGTGCCTCAACCAACGAAGCATAGAGGAGAAGAGGGCTCTGTTCTGTCATCCGTGTCCCTAGTCACCAAAATCCGCGCAAAATCTCAATTCCTCCAATCTTCCACTGTAGTCTATCATCGATCTAACCATTTAGGATCCTCCAATCTTTGGATCTCGCGGGAAACACCCATTTCTTTGTCTCTCCTGCCGCTCCTTCACAGCTGGGATCTTTCTAAAATATCATTTCGTTTTCTCTCCGACCTTCAATTATAGGGTTTTGAGTTCTCGACTGTCTCTTCTGATATTCACTTCTTTCTGTTTGTATTTGTTTGTTGTTTCTCGATTGTTGTGATGTTTGAACTGTGTTTTGGGGTTCGTATTTTGCCCTGATCTGCGAATTTCCGTGAAATCCGATTGGGGTCTGCCGGTTGAAAATGGCGGGGCAAGCCCAAGCACCGAACGTGGATCTATTTGATGCGTATTTTCGCAGAGCCGATTTGGATCGGGATGGGAGGATAAGTGGGGCCGAAGCCGTCGCCTTCTTTCAAGGTTCAAATTTGCCAAAGCACATCCTTGCACAGGTACCATCACGCTCTTTTATTTTAGAACGCAATCTCTATTTCCATGTGTTTCTGTCCATCCACTTCTCGTTTGGTTGGAGCTTCCATTATTTTGATGTGGTTGCCTATATTGGGTGGTATGGTTTTTAGGCTTTCATTGTTGTGAATTCTGGTTATTTTCTAAGTGTCAGCGAATAGCTTCTTAGTTCATAAAAATCCCTTCACCTCCATAATAAACAAACAAACAAACAAACAAACAAACAAAAAGATAATTCATAATAGATTTGGGTCACTTGGATGACCAGTGTAAGTTTCTAAAACTTTGGAATTTGGCTGATAGTGGCATTTTGAATACATATTACTGTAAGAACAGAACTGTGAAATATGGAAAAAAGAACTCTAGTTGTTGCCATTTGTAACCTTAACACTGTTTTAAGTTCATGTCCGATTGGATTTTGGAACGAGTTACCTGGGATATAATGGAAGTCCGAAATGACTGTCTGTTACTTATAGTGGACAGTTTTGTCACTATTTGATGCAACGCTAGGTAGTCAACTACTTGTCACCACATTTTGTTTCTGATGTCTCGAGCATACATAGGCAAAAACATTGTGGCCTCATATCAAATTCAGAATTCAGCAACACCCTGTTTACAGAAGAGATTGTACAGTATCATCATCCAGTCTCCAATATGTCTAAGATGACATTAAAAAGAAAGACAGTTTCTCTCATTCAAAATTACACCGCACACTTACAAAATGGTTTTGTAAGGATATAGAAATCCCTATTTATAATGATATATAGGGCACTCTTTTTCTTAAAGCACCTATCTTATTGATTAATGAATAGGGTCTGCATCTTTTGCGAAAAGTGGGATGTGACCATCAATTCCTCAGTTAAAAATTTTTGAGCTAATGTAACGAGTCATAAATTTGTTTTTTCTTTTTCTTTTCTTTTTTTTTTTGGTATAAAGAAGGATTACTGAGTTAATGTGACCATCTCTTTTGCTTTTCTTTTTTCTGCTACTTGTTTCCATTTCCTAAGATCTTATGATCTTATATTCTCCTTTTTTTTTTAAAAAAAAATTTGTGGCTTCTTTTCCAAGTTTCTGCAAACATCTTGCTGCAGCTCTCTCAGTGTAAGAGACCTGTAGTAGCCCATAAACTCATCCATCTCTTCCTATGGATTGCTTTTTGCTCAGACCTAATTTAAGTGATAATCCTTCCATCTTCCCCCTTGCCTGTTAAGTATCTGTCTAACCTTCTATTAGCTCTGGAAGCCGCAAATCTATAACTGGACATTTTTTCTATTTCTTTAGCCCACCATTGCTAATCCATAGCATATCCCTTTCTACATCAGGTAAATTACTATTAAATACATAATTAGTATAGGATTGCATAAAAAATAAAGAAATTAACAAAAATCTTGGAAAATTGAAGTGCTGCATTGTTGATATCTTATTGGAGGTCTCCCACATTAATACACCTTGTTTTAGAGTTGTAACCGTTAATTATAAAAAAAAAAGAGTTGTAACTGTTAAGATTTGTTATTGACTTAAGCTTAGAGCATCATCAACAGGTTATAATAAGAATCATTATACTCATATTCATAATAATTTATGCTTAAAGGATGGAAAAAGATAAATAAAGCTCCAATTGCTTCAGTTTAATAGGGATGGAAAGTTTTCCAAACTGAAACATTGCAGATATTATTTCTACATCTTTTTATTGGAAGTTTTCCAAAGTTTTTACTATAAATGGTTTGACAATACCAGCTGAAATATTTATGCCTAAAAAGCTTTCCATCCGTCTTACATTAAAACAAATGGAGCCTGAAGGGCAGATTGCAAAGCAAATGTAGCTTATGATCACAAAATGGCCCAAATAAGCAATTATAGTTGAGCTGAAATCAGAAAGTTGGACTATACCTTGGGACTGTTGGGCGTTGTTGAATGGCATCTATGTGATTAGGTTTGTGGAATAAGGTGCTCTAAGGTAACATTTAACTCAAATGGTGGACTCAAAACAGATTCTTTCTTGTAGGTTGAGGGAAAGCTCTTCACAAATTTGTTTATTTAAGAACTTTCTCTCAATTTTCTTTGAAACCAAACACAGCATTATGTGTTTCTACCTATCACTTAATTCTACTTTTTAATCAGCTTCTTAATTCCTTTTCCCTCTCAGGCTTGGCCACTCTTGTGTATTTATTTTAATGAAGGTGGTAGCTGCACTAGCTTGCATGATCTCAGTGAAAGTGGATTGCCAATAATATTTGGCAACCCTTACCAATCTCTTGCACATAAAAAGAAACATTAGAACTTGTTTATATTAAACTGATGCCTAAATATTTGGTTTCTTTTGTTCAAGATGTACTTTATATGCCTTTTTATGCTTGATATGGTTACTGGTGTAATGGAAACTTGTGATTTTATATTTTGTTTGCAGTGTATCTCTTCTAAGATTAATATTTCATACTAAATCGAGTCTCTAATCCATTCCTGTTTCTGCAGATATGGATGCATGCAGATCAGAATCGGACTGGTTTTCTTGGTAGGGCAGAATTCTATAATGCTCTCAAATTGGTCACTGTGGCACAAAGTAAGAGAGAACTAACTCCAGATATTGTAAAAGCTGCATTATATGGTCCAGCTGCAGCTAAGATCCCAGCACCCCAGATAAATCTTGCAGCTGCACCTGCATCCCAGTTGGGTACTACACCAGCAGTGCCTTCTCCTCAGATTGGTGCAGCTGTACCTACTGCATCTCAAAACGTTGCCTTCAGAGGCCCTCAAGTTCTTCCAAATGCAAGTATGAACCAGCAGTTTTTCCCTCATCAGGACAATCAATTCATGAGGCTACAACAAGCCATGCCTGCTGCTTCTGCTTCGCTTCCTTCATCAGGTGTCACTGTTCAAGGTCAAGGGTACCAGGGTGCAGGAACTCTGGCTGGTCCACGTCTTCCAAACTCAAATGTCACACCTAATTGGCTTAGTGGGAGGATGGGTGGAGTTCCAATTGCAGCAACCTCACAAGTCCCGAGTAGGGGGGTTACTCCCTCTACAAGCCAGGGTGGATATGGATTGGCACCATCAGGGTTACCCTCTTCCATATCACCTACACCACAAGCAACCTCTGGATTGACGGCTTCAGTTGCAGCAAAACCACAAGATCAGGTCTTAACATCAATCCAAACTGCGGCTAAGGATTCTAAAGCAATGGTAGTTTCTGGAAATGGCTTTGCTTCTGATTCAGGTTTTGGAGGAGATGTTTTTTCGGCAACTCCATCTCAACAGAAGAAAGATTCTTCCTTGCCTACATTTTCTGCCAGCAGTGTACCTTTGTCATCTGCCATAGTTCCTGTGTCTACAGGCCCCCAGCCATCAGTTACGAAGGGTCCACTTGAGTCTTTGCAGAGTTCATTCACAATTCAACCTGCAGGCTCTCAGCTTCATCGAGCCCAGTCACTCGGCAAACAAAATCAGAAGGTTGCACAGAGTTCTGCATTTGTTTCATCTGGCATTTCAGTTAATTCTGGGAATTCTGTTCCCAACCAGTCCCAGCCTCCATGGCCAAAGATGTCTCAATCTGATATTCAAAAATATATGAAAGTGTTTGTGGAGGTAGACACAGATAGAGATGGAAAAATCACTGGAGAGCAGGCACGCAACCTGTTTTTGAGCTGGAGATTACCAAGGGGTATATATTCTTTTGTTTTTAGCTTCATGTTTGTGTTTTATGCTTTTATATTTTTAATGATCTTAGATGATTATTGGTTCCTTTCTTCTGAGACAATATATGCATGATAAACATGATATTGATTTGTTTCCTGCACTTCATGTGCTTGAAATCAAAGTCCGGCACTATGTGTTTTAGAACTGGGGTAGAATTCCTTTATGAGATTCAACCATGCAATTTTATGCTTTATGTGGTATACCTTTCACAACTCACATCACATGCACAAGAGTGGATCTAGGTATTCATTTGGTTCTCCAACCTTCTGGGACCTTGTGGCCCCAATGCATTAAACAGATCACATCCGAGTCTGGGTAATACTTATCCCAACTATACGGGGTCTGTTACATGAATTCTGTTTGGTTTAGTGCCATATCCAATTTAGTTTCTTGTAAGTATGCACTATTAATCCTTCTCTTCTTCATTGTATCTACTAATTCCATAGTTTTTCCTGTTAATGTCTTTTGTAGAATGAGTCGTGCACTAATGCTATATGCAATTTTGCCCCCCTTCCCCCACCTGTTATTTTTGATTTCTGGACCACAATAAATTGTCATGTGCAAGCATAATTTGCTCTACCATCAGATAATAGATGAACATGACCTAAACTTATGGTTCTGCTATGTGTCTCTGTTTCTTTTCTTTCCCTTTCCCATGCTTCTTGCATGTAGCTAATCCCATACAATTAGGATAGGGCTTAGATAATGATGGTGATGATTCTTGCATGTAATGTTTTTTGTTTGGATCAAAATTCATTATCATCCAACTTGGCCCTCCTTACAGTGTTAAGGAGAGCAAAAGAAAGGAATCTGAAAGAAATTAAAGTTCAAGGTGATTCAAAAATAGTTACTAGGTGGTTAAAGAATGAACAGAAGGTAGTTCAGAGAAAAAGTAGACATCAGAGAGCTGCGAGAAAAAAATAGAATGGGTTCCTAGGGCTGATAATGGATTGGCAGGTTAATTAGCAAAGCAAGGGGTATCAAGGGATCAGTTGTATTGGGTCCAAGTTGGCTAGGAATTGATGTTGTTACTTATATGGAGGTTAGCTGAGGCTAGCCTCCCCATATGGGATTCCCACTTTGTTGTACTCACATTTTCTAATTCTTATTAATAAAATTCTGCTCTGTTAATGATAAAAAAATCCAATTACATGCCCATATGGTCTTGTGCTCACAATATGATGCATTTCATGTATTTTTTTCATGGATATTTTCTTATGCAGCTTTATGTATTTTGAACTTCATTAGCAGTTCCATATTTCCTTGATATCTTGTAGCCATGAAATGTGAAAAGGCTGTTATTATGTTCCATGATAACAATGTGCTCATGTTAATGTGTGTTCACTTCCCAGAGGTCTTAAAGCAAGTGTGGGACTTGTCAGATCAGGATAATGATAGCATGCTATCTTTGAAAGAGTTTTGCACTGCACTCTACTTGATGGAGCGTTACAGGGAAGGGCGCCCTCTGCCAGCGGCGGTTCCAAGCAATATCATGTTTGATGAAAAACTCTTGTCCATCACTGGTCAACCACCTGTGGCATTTGGACCTGCTGCTTGGGGAACTACTGCTGGTATTCTTTCATGTTGTTTTCAATTCATCTATCATTGTTTCCCATTATTTCTGCATTTTTATCCTTTACTTTTGATGATTAGGTTTTCAGCAACAAGGGATGCCTGGTCCACAGGCAACCAGGCCTACAGTTAGTGTCAGGCCAGCAGTGCGAGTTCCTGTCCCTCCTCAAGCTGATGACATGGTGCAGCCCAATCGGCGAAAGCCAAGAGTGCCAGAATTGGAGAAGCACCTTGTGAACCAACTCAGTAAAGAGGAACAGAGTTCATTAAACTCAAAATTCCAAGAGGCAACAGAAGCAAATAAAAAGGCATGTCTCCGCCCTTCATGTTTTACTCGTTATATAATCTATTTTCTTGATAGAGAAATACCATATTGTCTTGCTTTTTTTTTTTTTTTTGATAAATGAAGGAATTTATTAATCACAGAACATAGGAGATACAAGTGACCCAAGAAGAGGCGCGGGGTGCGACCTCTTCAGAAAAGCCAAAAGAAGATTCTTAAAAACAGTTTGAATAAGTTACAAGGTAGTCCAAAAAAGGCAGTCCCGAGAAACCCCTTGTTTGGCTAATGAATCATTTATAGCATTTGCCGATCTGCTCACCCTTTGTACACTAACGGTCATGTTGCTAGTCAGCCAATTCACTTTTTTAAGGAGGTCTCTATAACTCCAAATGGCAGAATCCGGGTTCAGGAGCCATCCCACCACCACCTGTGATTCACCTTCAACTAAAAGATGCTCCACCCCAATCTGGTTTGCAATCTGAATCCCTTGTACAGTAGCTAGTATCTCTGCTCTTGTGGAGTCACCCACTCCCACTAACGGTCATGTTGCTAGTCAGCCAATTCACTTTTTTAAGGAGGTCTCTATAACTCCAAATGGCAGAATCCGGGTTCAATTGCCATCCCACCACCACCTGTGATTCACCTTCAACTAAAAGATGCTCCACCCCAATCTGGTTTGCAATCTGAATCCCTTGTACCGTAGCTAGTATCTCTGCTCTTGTGGAGTCACCAACTCCCACTGGTTCTGAATAGAAGGAAATAATGTGGCTATCCTTAATTCCTTATTTCTTAGGACCCCTCCTATACCCAAAGGTTCTGGATTACCCTGACTACTCCCATCAAAGTTCAGCTTAATGACACCCTTTGAAGGAGGTTCCCATTCTACCATGGTGTCAATTTCTTTCCAAATTCCAAGTATCATCATCATCATCATGCCATATGAGATTGATAAAAAAAAATCATGCCATATGAGGTCTTATTGTAAGGTATTCTTCCTCCTACAACAAGGGTGCTGATTGATCTCTATCACTTGCCCAATTTTGAATTTTCTTCTTTTCAATTTTAACATTGTTAGATATACAAATTTTACCTTTTGATGTTTTGATCATAGTTATCAAGGCGATGCTTAGGTGGGCATCTAAGTGACACCTATGCGATAAGGTGCTCTTGGTGGGTCGCCTTGCCCAAATGCCTAGATATTTATATGTAAGACACCACATAATATTTTTATATTTTTATTTTATTTTATTAATAGTAATACAATAGATTTTATTAGACTAAATTATTTGTATTGTGGGTTTATAGTATTAATATTATTTATTCTTATATTAATTTCTTTTTATTATTTTCTTATTTGTTTGGGTTCCATTGACAAAAAAACTTGAAGATTTTATCAAATTGACACACAAGAACAATCAATAAGACTTCTTCTAATCTTCTTCCTAGGACCAAAACAACGCAGCCCTTATGTTTTGTATGTTTTCTTTTCTTTCTTATCTTTCTTCTCATAAATATGTTATTTTCTAACTTTTGATGTGGGGTTTATACTTATTTCATTAGGATTATAGTAATTATTAGTTAAAGATTACTGCTTATTACTATGAATCCTAGGGAACTGCCCTAGGATATATATATATATTTTAAAAAACTCATCTATACCTAGGTGACTAGGCAACAAGGCGATCCCCAATCACCTAGCTTCACCTTGGTGCCTTGAACCAAGGCGAGGCTAGGCGACAGGGGGGCGCCTTGTTGCCTAGTCGCCTAGGTGATGGATTTTTTTAAGTAAAACTCTAGATCCTAGGGTAGTTCCCTAGGTTCCATAACCGTCTTTCCTTAATAATTTTCATAAGAAAAGTATAAATTTCATGTTTAAGCCTAGAAAATCAACATTTTATGAGAAGAAAAAGAACAAAGTAAAGAAAATTCAAAAAATATAGGGGCTGAACCCCTACTTTTGTTATAGGAAAGAAGAAAAGAAAGGTAGAAGAAGAAGAAGACGTGGAAGAAGAAAATGTGTTGATTAACAAAATTTTAAGTTCTTCCCTTGCTTATAGGTTCAGGTTTTGAAAATGTTAAGGGTTCAATCAAGGATCAAAATTTCGATACGATACGCCTCGTATTGGGTGTATTGTATTGTGTCTTTGGGGTCCCGATACCTGTTTACAGGTGTTTTTGGGGACCCATTTTTTAAATTATATATATATATTTAAAATGAAATTGAAAACCAAAGAAATAAAAGAATAGGGGGAGTATCGTTATAAGTACCTATACACCTCTGCCAATACACAGAGGGGTATCGATACTGTGAACCATGGGTTCAATATAGTAGTTAACAATGTTTGCATTGATTAAACCCTAACAAAATAAGAAAATAATAAAAAGAAATTAGTATATAAACACATAAAATGAATATTCTAGTTTAAGAATGTCTATTTTATAATTGTAGTGTCAAAAAATTAAAAATCTAAAAGTATTTTATAACCCAGTGCACAAAACTGCTAGGCAGTTGGGCAAGGCGAGCCTCCAAGGGCACCTTGTCGCCTAGGCGTCGCCTTGACAAGTATGCTTGAAAACTATGGTTTTGAACTTGTTAATGGAGATGGGATACTACCCAGGCTATTCGTATATCTAGTAGTGGAGAGACACTTGTTATTAGGTAGATAAGGAATTTTATGATGGGTCCTTGGCATTTTCCATATGTCTGTTTTGATCAGCTGTAAAGGCTTTGTCAATATGTAAATAGTAAGGCTAACCCCATCAATAAAGTATCGGTATTGGTATTGTATTGGACAACTCAGATATGGATTATGGATGTGGATACAAATATGCTTTGGAAACACATGGATATGGACAAAAAATATGGAAACGCTAGGGAAACACATACAAATTCCATAAATACATGAATAACACTAAATTTAACTTAAAATATCCACAAATAATGTAAATATACATAGGAAATGTATATTTTAATGGTGTATATGAAAAAATATATTACAATTAATATAGCAGGATGCATAGATATCATACAATTTTATTGATAATGCATCAATCAAGAGTTCAAGACACATTCAAGGTTTGAATTGCCTTTAAGGGATATTGTCTGGACTCAGTGGAAAGTTTCTGTAAGGGGTGGTATATTCAAGGTTTGAGCAAAAGAGGGAAGACTGTTTGGCAAATGATTCCAGGAATTGTGTGGTGGTTGATATGGTAGGAAAGGAACTCTAGAATATTTCACAACAAAAGTAGCTAGCTGGAGGATGTATGGCATAATGTTTTGGGCAAATTATTCTCCCGGTCTTCAGCTTAGATCAACTTAAACAGTTCGAACCATAGTTCTTTGATTTTGTACACTTGTTTGTTAATGCTGAAGGGATAGTGGCTTAGTTTCTTGTATGTTCCCTTGTTATAGCCTCTACAGGGTATTTTGTTCTCTTTTTAATGAAATTCTTTACCTCTTCTAAAAAAAAAAGAGTACAAGACACATAACATATTCACATATTATATTTTAATTATTATATCAATTATTTTCTATTTTACTATTTTTATTTTTTATATTAACAAAAAAATTAATAAAATATTAAATTCTCAAATGTAAATTAAGATATTAGTTAATAATTTATAAAAATATATAATCTCAATTTAAAATATATCAATTCTGTTAAAATTTCTAAGATACATGTCATAAGAAAATTTGTAATTACTAAAATAATTATTTCATTATTAATATTTTTGTTTCTATAATTTTTCTAAAATTAAAAACCAATTTTTGATTTACATGTTGATTAGCAGATTTGATAGATTCTTTTTAATATTATATTCTCAAATATTTTCTAAACATTTTTTATTTTTGTAAATAGTTAATATGTTGTTATTTAATGTAATGTAAATTAAAATATTAATTAATAATTAAATAAATATTAATTCTAAGTACTAAAATAATTATTCTATTATTAATATTTTATTTGTACAAATTTCTTGTGATTAAAATCATCTTTTGATTTTAATGTGGATTTGATAGATTATTTATTCCATTAGTTTATAAAATATTAATTTTGAATATTATTCTTTTTAATTTTTAGTTGGAATTGTTAAACATAAATATCTATTATTATTTGTATTGCATCTAGATACTGTATTTAATAATAGTTATTTTTATTTCACTTATTAAGATAAGAAGCAAGTTGGTATAGTGGTTCAAGGGTCGATTTGAAACTTAGGCATGCCTCACACTAGGCGACCTAGGTTTGAATCGCTCCATTCTCACTTTCTAGTAGGAAGGTACATCGTATTGGTGCATATTGGCCGATACAATGTGATACGGACCGGTGCACACCCGTATTATCCCGATATGCATGACTGTCAAGGTACACCCCAGTTGCTTATCTTATGCCGGTTATGGTCGATACCAATATGATACACCCTGTATAGGACATATCGTACCGATATTTCAAGACAAATAGCCAGTTCAAGGTTCAACTCAATACCAAGTCTTCCAATGTTCTAGCAGATTGCCTTGCACACGGAGTTGGTAGCAATCTTTTAGGAAGTAATAGAGGTGCTGATATTCTGCTCCTCTCTACCGTGTTATTCTTCTGAGTATAACAGTGAACTCCCCTATTACTTCCTAAAGACTGCTACCAACCCCTTGTGCAATGATATCTGCTAGAACATTGGAAGACACAAGTGCCTAATAAGCTTTAGGTTTCTATTTGCCACTTGCAGTTTGAAAATGTGGCACATATCCAATTTTCTTAGAGGCTAGATCTAGAAAACCATGTATGACTCAGCCTCAAGAATCACATCAACATTGATGAGGAAGCGTGAAGGAAAGGTGAATTCTTTGTTTATTTATAGTCATGAATAGTATTGATTATTAAGGAAAAATGATATACAAAAAATAATGAGAAAGCAGTATGGGGTTATAGGAATGATTTTAATCAGATTGAATCATTGAATTGTTGACAACAAGATTGCAAATCTAAATTGCAAAGCAAATAGAAGGTTATGCCCTTGTCTTCTTTA